CTCAGTCTGGCTCTACTTGCAACACATCAGCCATTCTACTAAATTTCTTGTCAAACCTCACTTTATCAAGACTACTTAGACTATTCCAAGCAGCAACTAAGTCTTTTACACAAGGTCTTTTGGTCTACACAGAGAATTCATCCTTGTGTGACTGGTTCTTCATGGATAACGGCAGACATTCTAACTCTAAATTCACCCTTTTTCCCTTATTGTCCTTTTTCTCCAAAGTATCCATGTGTAAAATAATTAATTACCTATTTATTATAGAAAAGAAAAAGGACAATTAATAAATTTCATACCTCTTGGTCAAATTCCACACCTAAGAAACACAAAAACATAAAATACTCCCTACGTGTCCTATGTATAAGGTTCCTAAACTTTGACGGTGGTTTACTAAGCTGGCCGTCCTATGGTTAAATTTTATCTAAGTCCATTACATGCGGTCTCCTAGTGGATTCTATACGATTAGGCTTTTTCAACTGCTAACTTCCATAAGTCAACAATTATTGACTTCCATAAAGTCAACAATTATTGACTTCCATAAAGTCAACAATTGTCAATTCTATAAAGTTAACAAAAGGCATTTCATAACCTAATACAGCGGCGACATTATGGCTGTCAAGTCATATTAACCCATAAAATGAACCTAAAAGAGATAAATCTCACTTCACAAGGAAAGCATTAAGCTTTTCATTGCTCCATGAGTTATTCATCTATCTAGAGGTCGGGTTCACCTCATCAAGAACAAAAAAATGATATGCAAGTGAGGTGTGTGAGGAAGTATACACATAAAGTTAACATATGAAAATAACAAAATAAAAACTTACAAGGTATTCTATGCCACCTATAAAACAAAAGTTAGTAATTGAAAAACCTCAAAATTAAAGTATAAATGGCTTGACCCCTCAATGTCCCCAGTGGAGTCGCCAAACTGTTGACGTGCCAAAATGGAATGGAGTCGCCATCTATCACCAAGGTCTACGTAGAAATTGACTAGGATCGGAGGGTCAGTTAAGCGTGGGGAAGGTGTTAGGCGCTCCACAACTTCCATATAATATGGTTACCACATACTTTAACTTTTGGGACTTTTCAATTTTATATCAAAATAATAATTACCAAATAATAATAATAATAATAATAATAATAGTAAACAAA